ATCCTCATAGCAAATTGGCTTTTGTATGCATCTCTTGCCAAATAAATCAAGCCTACTGAGAAATCCATTGGCCTTTGACAGACAAATTTTTCAAAGTTTCTAACTTAGAACCAAATTCAATTAAAACAATACTTTACAATTTCTGTGGAAACCAGGCTACAAGTAATCAATTTTGGAGAGTTTCTGTTAGGAGTAGCCCTCATGAGATTTATTTAAAAACTGGGCTCTCGGCAGCCTTCAGAAGGGTGCTAGGAGTTAGTTATAATGAATTTTAATTGAATTCTCTCTTGATAAGGGATTTTGATTGACAATACCATAAAGCCATATCACGTGTGTGTGTGTGTGTGTGTGTGTGTGTGTGTGTGTGTGTTCTATATTTTAAGGAATAGGAATAGCTATCAATGGAGACTGCTTCATGTGATGCCTAAATAAATCCAAACTCTAGATCAGACAACCTAGGCTCAAATCCCAGATCTGCCATTTATGGACATGATCACCTTTGAAATGGGAATAATAAAAGAACCTTCCTAATATTGGCATTATGCAAAGCGAATGAGTACATGAAATGCACGTGCCCCGTGTTCAGCAGAGTAAGCTTACACTGTCAACTGCTGCTCCCCTGAGGTTATTCTCCTCAGAGGGCCACTTGAGTGATCAGAACAAAATTTCTAGGACATTGTCCCTTTTTATGATGACTGAGGCCTGTAAGGATAAGCAGAGATTCTGTAGTCCTTGTTTTGATGTGAGTTTAACCATTGGCATACAGACTGGCTCCCTCAGATCCTTAAAAATAAACTCTCTCATTTTTTTATTTCAATATTTCATTTCACTTTCCACCCTCAAATGTAGATTCAAGAAACGCAGGCTTATTGTGCAGCTACCCTGTGAGCAGATGCCCCAAAGCCGTCATTCCTTCGAGTTAATAATTAACATAACCTGACAAGGTGTGGTGGCACAGGTCTGTAGTCCCAGCTAATCGGGAGTCTACGGCAGGAGGATTTTAGCCCAGGAATTCAAGGCCAGTGTGGGTGATATAATGAGACCCCATCTCTTGAAAAAAAAGAATCCCCATAACCTAATATCAGGCACGTAAGTCTCTATAGCTTACAAAAAATAAAGAAAAGCTCATTGCGTGCATCCATCAACATGGCATGTTGTAGAGCATAATATTTGGAGAATAACGAAGCAAAATACACTTAATAAAATTGCAAGCATATGGTGAGGTTCTCAGACAAGTTATTTGTGGTCTTGATTAACCTTGCAACAACATTATTGCCATTTTCATAGGTTTTACATAACAACATACAAATATTGTCTTTACCTTTTAACATGCCAGCATTATCTTATCTCCTGTTCTTTTATTTAGGCTTCATTTTTCTCCCTCACCCCAAAAATCTCTAGCAGCTTGATCCTGGAAGAGCAAAGCTTCTTGTAGTCCGTGGTAGTTAATTTTATATGAATACTGTTTTCCTGGCACATAGCAACAGTGCCACCAAAAGGACAAGGCCCTGAGTTTCTAGGATCTTTTCCATTTCTTTACTCGACAGCATATCAGCATTTTTGCATGATATTCCTGGTTGCTGTGTATTCAAAATATAATATATTGGCATTTCAGGCTCCTTATAGTTAATAGGTTTTAATTTGTTGTGATCTACAGATTCTTTAACTTCTCAGCTGTCTTTGGGTAGGATGAGTTTTCTTTTAATCCTCCCGAACTAAAAAGGTAAGTCGTTGATTGTGTTAAGCTGCAGATAAATCATATGAGCAGATGTTCTTATACAACTGTAGAAATGATATACGAAAACTGATATTAGAGTCACTATAATATCTGTACTGTCAGGAGGAAATATTGAAATGCGTACATTGTTCTGTGTTTAGTGACTATGAAAGTCACCCCAGGGTATAAACTTTTCTTATTCTCAGAGTACTGTCTGTTATATTTTATGATTGCTCCAAATTTAGTAATGTGGCAAAACTCATTTGTTAAATTTTAAATATATAATGACATGTCATGAGAATAAAATCAAATGAATTTAAGTTATGGCAAGGATATAATCATATATATTTCAAACAAATGTATTTCTTTGGGGTCACTTTTTTTTCCTGCTACAAACAGAACTGATTTTGTCATATTTGTTATTCAAAAACTTAAAATAGTCACCTCTCTAGATGCAGTCTCAAGCTGAAATAAACATTACAGACTAGTGGTTAAGAGAGTAAGCTGTGGACTCAGACTGCCTAAGTTCACATTCTGGCTCTACTCTTTTCCTGACAGGCACAATCCTGGGTTAATACCCAGTGTCAGTTTCCTCTTCTGCTAGATAGAGTTGTTCATACTATTTATTTCATAGAATTGCTCTGAAGAGCAAATGAGATCATATCTACCAAGAATTAGCATAAGTACTCAATAAATATCAGTCACTGCTGTTATGATGATGGTCATAGTTCTCTGTAGATACTGGTTGCCATCCCTTTGCATCTACTTATGATATTCTCTAGGTATGGCTGAATGCCAAAATCAAAACAAATTTTATATAATTTCATTGGTGCTTTCACAGGATGCTACCTACCTAGAAATTGGTTTACTGCTACATATGTATATAAACATATTTTAGGGGAGGAAAAATATCTTTTTCTCACCCATCCTGGATTCATCACCAACACCTCTGTTTTAACAAAAGACAGAATAGCAAAAAAAAAAAAAAACATACAAATTTATTTCATGTAAGTTTTCTGTGATATGGGAGTCTTTATAAGGAAATGAAGAACGGAACAAACAGTTAAACTTGAATATTTTTACTGTAGGTTTGATGAAGAGGGGAAAATGGTGGAGAAATATGATTGGACAAAGGAGCTATGAGCTAATGGAAATAAACTGAGGAAAATCAGCAAGGCCTTTTGTGCAGATTCTTCTCTGTGTCCCTGTGTCTTCAGAGATAGGGATGATCCATTCTTAGGGGATAGGGAGGGCATCTCTCAAATGAGCATCTTATGACTTGCTCCAGGGGGTGGTCAGAAAATTCTACCTACGTTTTATGAACAGCTGCAGGAGAGAACAGGGGAGAGGGAGAGTGATCTTCCTGCTACTGCAAATGCCAGGGGTTAGCATGTCCTGAACTCCATCAATATCCATTTGTAAGTGAGGACGTCTGGCTCCACACAGCTAGTTGTTCACCTTTCTATCTGTTCGTGTCAGCAGTTTTTATTTGAAAAGCTTCTGTTGGTTACTTTTTTGTTTTCTAACACTTAAAAATCACTATGAACAAAGATGGAAATGGATCAGTTTGTATAGTCTAAAGCAAGGAGGGGTTGAGTCACAAACAAAATAGGATTCTGTAACCACTTCTATTTTCCAAGGGATGGAGTAAGTCATTTAGAATAGAGGTTTAGGGATAGGTATAAATAGAATTAATAGAATAAAATTAAGAAATGGAAATTCACCTGAATATCAGGACTGTGGTGCTTAGAGAGTTATGGAAATGCCTCTGAAAATAAGTAAGCAGAGGTCCATTCACTGGAGGCCTGACTACAGCTGAAATACTGGACGAATACCAATGAATTTGTTATTGAGAGTATTTCTATATCAGTGTGAGTTGGTCCAGAGAAACTGTTAGGCCTTTTGCTTGCTAATTTCTTTTTTGCTGTGAAATAATAAAGCCTAAATCATAGAACCAAATTTCACTTGTAAATTGCTGGAAGTCTTATTTCTCTAGTGAGATCAAATATGTCTTATGACATGTTTTTCCTTCCACTATTCTCCCAGCTGTTGTTTCTTATTACTGAAATAGTGATGCTTTGATATTGGTTCAATTACCAAAGTATCTGAGTACATTTAAATTCATGGTGCATAACAGGTAGTCAGGCTAAGTGACTGTGATTATCAGATGAGGTGTTTGTTTTAAATTAAAGGAACACTTCCAAGAGATAATTTATAGAGGAAGACAGCTTACCCTGAAGAATTCCCATCCCCTATGTCATTAATATTTTAGGACTTATTATAATAAGGAAGTTGTGGAAACTAAAGAGTATAGGCTCTGTATGTACAGGCACCATGGCGACATTGTTTTCCTCAGACAGGGGCCACATGGTGGGTGAGAAAGCCTTAACACCAATCCCACTGGGTATGGAAGTAGCTAAAGCTCTTTGAATGCAATTTAAACATGTATACCAAATTCTAAATTGTAATAAAATAAGAATGTTGCAAATGATTTCTTATTAGAATTGCATTGTTGCTAACCACATAAATACTTAGAGCTGATGTTCAAAAAAGGATGGAATTTTCTCCCTTATAGAACAAAGGGAAAATATAAAGTTTTGTTGGAAGCAAGTGTTTAAAGCTACATGAGATATAGTTCTTCAGCTATGTTTGGAAATGTAACTGAAAGGTTTCTTGTGGAGGGAAATTTGAGATTTCACATTTTTGTTAGGTATTGGCATCATTTTTTTTTTCAGCTTATTGATCAGTGCTTGAGGTTGTATTATATACGCTTGGGGAAAATAACCACCTTGACCTAAAATTTACATGTGTAATTCTCATTAGTGGTAACAGAAAGTATTCTTACAAACTTACTAACATTGAGACTAAATATATTTTCTGTGTGTCTGGGACTCTGTTATTAATGATGCTTGCACTGCAGCACTAGTTCCATGAGATATCTGGTTTTGTTTTGCTCTGTCTGAAAATATCAACCAATGTTAACAGCATAAAAATTCCACAAAGAGGAAAATTTCAGTACATGACCTTTAATTATATCATAGATGCTATGAAGTCCAATGACTGGGTCATTAAAATGATAATAATAATAAATGTGATTTCTCATTGTTATCACTCTGCTATTTGCTGGGTCTCCAAAGAGCCTTTGACTGTTCTGTAAAATAAACTTATACCCTTCTTGTGGGTTGTGTCCAAGGAAACAGTTACAGTAATGAGAGTGGATTTGGATGTATACGTAAACAGCTTTGTGCTGATTAAACATTCACAAATGTTTTGTCTCTTACAGCCTGTCAACCAGGGTCGCCACTATCAGAAAGAAATGAACCCACCTTCTCCTTCTAACCCCCGGTAAGAATTATTAATAATCTAAATGGTTTTTAAAAAACCAGACACACTTTGTTGGAAGATTGTGCATTTTTCTTGGTTTCCTGAAATTGTTTTCCAAAACTTCTAGCTTCCAAAGTTATGTTCTTTCAAAGTCTCAGTTCTTCTACTTGTCTTCTTTGGACTTTAGAAGAGTGGTAACAGTCTACCTAGGTTTAAATATCTACCTTTTAATAGTGGAATTTTGGATAAGTCATTTGACTCCAAGTAATTCAGGCATAAGAATTACTTCATAGTATTTTGGGGAGATTCAAATGAAAACTTCTTAGAACAGTTCCTGGCACATAGCAAGTTCTCACCAAGTGTTAATTTATTCATATTACTTTATTTGCGTAAATATTTCATTTTAATAGGTTTCTGATGTTTGGCACATTTTAGACATTTTTTTAATATCACCTGGTGCTCTTAAATTTATCAAGATAGCTTATAAAACTTCAAATAACCGGTCTCTTTTTTCATAACATCAAAGTTTATAATCTCAAAATTACTTTTATTATTTCAAAAATGTCATTGGTATATGAGTCATTTGTTGCGATAACCTCGTTATTTTTGGTTCATTAGGAACAAGAGATCTAAATCTGAGTTTCGAAATACATATTGTATGATTCTATAACTTTCTGATAAATAATTATATAAGCTAGTTTATCCATATGAATCAGTATTACCTTATCAGTATTTATCATACACTAGGAAATTATTGAAACATCCATATATCTTGAGCCTACCTAGAGAGTCTTAGTTACTGTGGTGCACCTCATTATCCAAATGCATCTGACCTGTACTGTGGGTTGTCCTATGGAGGGTGTGTTAACTATTGCATGGTGTCTGAATTAAGACTCTTAGGTTACACACTACAAAACAGCTTAGCTAGTATTAAAAGACAGAAAGAGATAGGGAGAAAAAGAAAGAAAGGCAGGGTGGGAGCTGTTAAGTAAGGTACAGGGCTGTATTCTAGAACCCAGAGGCCACCATGCCTCAGGAGAGGCCTGAAACTAGGAACTAGAAAGCAGAGAGGCAGCCAGGCAGTCTCTTCACTCCATGTCTGCTTGCTTCCTCCCATCTGCTCCATTCTTCTCTCTAAGGACCAGCTTTCTCTGCTCCCTAGTCCACATATGGCCATTTGACAGCTCTGAAGTTGACATATTACAGTTCAACATACGTGTCAAGGCTGAAAGACTATGTCTGCACCTCCCTTTCTGAGAGAGAGAATGTGATTAGCTTAGCTTGGGCCAAGTACCCATTCTGGTCCAGTCACCAATAAACAATGAACCAAGCCATATAAAATAAGCATGGCTTCCAGGAAACCATATAAATGGTTTACAGGACTTTTACTGGGATCCAGAATATTCATGACACAGGTAGAGTAAATGTTCTTTATTAGTAATCTCTTCTAAAGGTTCCTGTTCTGTACACTTGCTCTGATCATTTGTTCATGTTACCTAGTAGGGTGAATTGTCACTTTCATAAATAGATACACTAAAGAGTTTAAAATTGAGATTAGAATTTCAATATATATAAGAAGGTGTTTTAATGTTGTTAAAATTAGTTATCTCTTCATAGGTGAACATGTCACTAAAACATGTCACTAAGAATCTTGTAGCTTATCTAGATTTGCCTAACAAATTATTTTTTTCTATATATGAGTAAGCTTTCAAGGTAACTGGAAATCCAACTTTGGTCCAAATTATAATAAATTAAGAATTTGGTCCAGGCATGGTGGCTCATGCCTATAATCCCAGCACTTTAGGAGACCAAGACAGATGGATCACCTGAAGTCAGGAGTTCAAGACAAGCCCGGCCGCCATGGTAAAACCACGTTTCTAATAAAAATACAAAAATTAGCTAGGTGTGGTGGCATACGCCTGTAGTCCCAGCTACGTTTCTAATAAAAATACAAAAATTAGCTAGGTGTGGTGGCATACGCCTGTAGTCCCAGCTACTCAGGAGGCTGAGGCATGAGAATCACTTGAACCTAGGAGGCAGAGGATACAGTGAGCCAAGATCATACAACTGCACTCCAGCCCAGACGACAGTGAGACTCTGTCTCAAAAAAAAAAAAAAAAAAAGGAACTAATTTGTGGTCTGAACAAATGAGATTGATAGTAAGATATGTTAGACAGTGGAGCCTTTTGTTTCAATAAAAAGAGAAAAGGGACCTAATTCTCATCCTAATTCTGTAATATAGTGTATAATCTCAGACAAGCCTCTGACCTCTCCAGACCTTTTTAATAATATGAATACCCTCATGTGTAAAAGAAAGGACTTGAGTTGGGTGCTCTCTGAGACCAATTCCAACTTTATGATTCCGTGACTTTTACAAGACTCATTACAGCCTTTGCTTCGTAAAGCAGTCTTGCCATTGAAGGATCACACTACTTTTATTTCATTGTCCTGTATAGAAAACATGCTTCATAAATATTGGATAGATAACTGAATAAATGAATGAATATCCAGATGTGGTAATATGCAACTTTAAATATCTCTTTTACAAATTGATTTTCAAAGATACACTGTCAAGATAGAATATGAAATAATTCACCAGGTAGACTGCATATTTTATGCAACCAATTAAATGTTTATTTAAGAAAAATTAATTTACATTTCTGCATAATGAAATAAAAAGGCCAAATTCTAAAGCCAGAAATAAAATGCCACCAAACCCTTTTGCCAGCAAGTTATCTACCAGTTTCCTAAAAAATTATTATATAACCATTCAGAAAATCTGCAGATTATGTGACTTGGCTCTTGGCACATAAATTCAGCAGCTTAGGAGAATTGGCAGGAAGGCATTATTGGGCCATAAATACAGAAGATGATAAAATTATGGGGTCAGTATATATCATCATATAAAAATGAAATAAATTGAATCATGTAATGCATGTAATTTAACTTAAAACTGAAAGCTCTGATTCTTCTTAAGATCTGTATTTATTATATTTCTTACAATTAGTATCCCCATGCTTTAGACCCTAAAATATAGAACTTTAAATTTAAAGGATATTGATAATTAATATGAAAAATATAAGAAATTAGAAGATAAGTCTCTGAAGCCTACCCTCTTAGATAAACGAGCATCTAACTTGAATCCTTGATTGAAAGTTCTGGTATGGAGGCTATGAACAATACATGAAAAGCAGGTAGGCCCTTCATTTCCTGAATTAAGTGTGGCTGTGATTAAAGTAATGCCAACATGGCAGAGACAGGGTGGTGTGGACAAGCAGTTCCACAAGAGGAAAGCGTGATGGTGACCTCTGGGAAGTGAGATAGCCAATGAGATATCTACAACTACTCCAGAGACCAAAGATCCTAAGGTTTTTAAATTTAGCATAGACTGTGCCCACATATATACATGTTTAGAGAATCACCTTTTGACTAGCTTTATTAATATACCAGGACAATCAATATCCCCAGTCTTTCAT